AAGGACTACACAGTATCAGGTATTGTTTTCTATAAGCAATTCTATTTAAGAAAAATAAGATATTGATTCACATCATGCCAAAATATTGTTGCCAACCATAGCATGTGCACTAGTTGTCGATTGATGTACGTCATTGTTTCCGTTAACCTTTTTATTTTTAGTTTCTGTTAGTTTAAATTCGATTTAAGGTTTTCTGTAAATTAAACATGTATGTAGACTTTCCAAGTGCGTTATATTTAGAGGTGACAGACGAGCGACAGCGTAAGTCGATTGTGAGAGGAGAATAATTGCATGTGCTTTGTTCAAACTGGTATGCGTATACTGTCACGAAGAGAAGCGATAGCACTGGATCCAATATAAAAAGCAAATAATCCTTTAAAAAGTATTTTTTGAAATGAAAGTCGAACTAAACATCCACTAAAGCAGGCCCTCACAAATGGGAACGTAATGGCATTGCAGATGATTGTTATTCATCGTTATTTATATAAACAGCACGACTATTATTCCATTGTGAAGAATCAATGTATAATGTATGCTAACCCTAGCAATGATTACTTTACTCTCGGCCATAACCATGGCATTTATTTGAATGAGACTTATTTAAATGCATCAATAAAGACAGTTATTTATGTATTTTACACTTTGATGATGTCTTCAGAGGATGCCCTGCAAATGAGATGGTACCTCATAGGCCTAAAAATTGCTCTGATGTTGATTGAAAAGCATAGTTGCACCTCTTTTAGGAGCGGTTTGGATTTAATCAACTGTTCTTTTTCTCTGCTTGTGGTAGGGAGTGTTTTTGTTCACTAACTAAATTGCATTTCTGATATAACGGCAACCATGTCACTTTTCGGTTTTAAACTGAACCTTTTTTAACTCTTTTACTAGGTCTTACTGTATCCTGGATAAAATATCGGAGTATCTGTGTTACAGTTAGGATCATCCAATAAACCAGAGTTGGAGTCAAGTCCCGACCCTATAAGACTTAAACCAAGACTTGACGCATTGAGGCCCAGATCTAGACCAATGCCTGTCCAAGTATGAAAGAAGATGCTGAATTGATTGCAGCATTCACATTGTACAGTGGCTACATAGCCGTTCAAAGCCATAGACATTTTGCTATTTTTCTGTAATCATGAAGGCACCTTGTTGAACTTGGCTGAGTTATCATCTTTAGTACATAAGTGGACTCTTTTCTTCACCCTAAACCGAGATTAAATCTGGACCTAGATGGAGCAATGCAGTGTTTGTGGTCTTGATGGGTCTTCAAGACTTCAACTCTGACACTACCTAACCAATAAAATAACATTGCAAATAATGGCTAAGGGGTTTTTGTAATGGATGTAGAAGGCTGCATTAATTTTCACTTTTTGGTTTTTCTTGATAAGATTCTATGTCCATTTCATTTTGCCAGTTTTAATTGAGAGCTGGTCTGTAATTTGTCCTCTGTTGACAAAATAAATCAGAAGCAGTCAGGTTGGTGAAGTTTTCATCTAAAATCCAAGATTCTTAGGCAGATGGCCAATAATAAATTAGATCAAATGTGACACAAAAGCATGAATCAGTTGTTAAAAAATTAGCCAAATGTTTTAGGTGGTAAGTGACGTTCGAACTGGACCCTTGCTGATGTTTTCTTGAAAAAATCTTGAATAATTGTCTTCATGTGGATCACTGAGGTATGCAAAGCCCAAAGTGCCCGCTAAAGTAATTCAGTTTCAGACAAGACTAATTAATGAGAGAAATTCCTGAGGGACTCCAGTGCTCCCGTGCACTCTTTTTGTCAATTTCCGAGGCTGCCAGCGGGAAGCGGTTTCAGGCTCAAACAGCTCACCCTTCTAATACCAATCAAATTGACATCTGACATTCTGGATTTCACAGCATATGTTGCAACACACATGTAAATTTATGTAAATCGCTACCATTTTATAATATTGTACAGTGCATATATTGTAAGTAGTTATATCCCTGACAAATTACAAAGGCATATTTTAAACTCAGATGCATTCCCATTTTTACAGCATTCAGCATACTGTATGTGCCTTAAAGTTTGTATTTCATTAAGGCACATACTCAAATTCATATTCAGATATAGAAGCAAACTAATTAAAATAGTTAGTTTTCAAAGCAAAAGCTCCCCCATGTATTCACATGGAAAACATTACATCAAATAAAACCAAAGCAACTAATCCTCATGAATGCCGCCGCCGCCCAAACAATGCACAAACATATATTTTAGTGTAAACACTGTCTGAAATGTGTCCATTGTTTCACTAGCACAACAAAAAAGCTTTATTTTCCACTTTTTATTGGTTGTCACTTTAACCTATGTATGTACATGATGGCTCCTGGGGTCAGGACAGAATAACATGTATTTTACATCAATAAACTGTACTTGCATTCTATATTTAATAACCTGGTGATAAATACTCAGACAGATGAGCCTGTATGTATGGACTAGATGAAATGTAATAACGTTATGATTGGCAACAGATCCACTGCTGCGGAGGGGCATTGACAAATCATGTGTATCAAAATACATTACCTAATTTATAAGATGAGCTAAATATACTAATTCCATTTAATCATAATAATTATTATTAAACTGCAAATTATTATTATTATTATAGGGGTGACAGGAGTTTAAGGAATAGTTGACACAAAAATTGAAAATTAGTTTTGATTATTAGAGTTTGTTTCATCATTGGAATAGATTTGGAGAAATTTAGCATTGCATCACTTGCTCACCAATGGATCCTCTGCAGTGAATGGGTGCCGTCAGAATGAGAGTCCAAACAGCTGATAAAAACATCATAATAATCCACAGACTCCAGTCCATCAATTAACATCTTGTGAAGTAAAAAGCTGCACGTTTGTAAGAAACAAATCCAACATTAAAATGCTTTAACTTTAAACCATCACTTCTGGCCAAAACAGAGGTCCATAATCCATAATAACGCTTCCTCCAGTGAAAAAGTCCATCTCCTGTTGACCTCTCACATCAAAAGCGACTGACATATTTGTTTAGAACTGTTTTAGACTGCTTTCTCCTATAAACGTTGCTTGATCTGTGCATATTTCTCTCCTGTTTCAACTTTTTCACTGGAGGAAGCAATAATAAGAATAGAGGACTTGTGTTTTAGCTGGAAGCTACGGTGGTTTGCAATTAAAAATGTCTTACTTTATTACAAACATGCAGCTTTTCACTTCACAAGACATACATTTGATGGACTGGAGTGAATTGTGGATTATTGTGATGTTTTTATCAGCTGTTTGGACTCTCATTCTGACGGCACCCATTCACTGCAGAGGATCCATGAGTGAGCAAGTGATGTAATGCTACATTTCTCCAATTCTGTTCTGAACAAACTCATCCATATATTGATAGCCTGAGGGCGAGTACATTTTCAGCAATTTTTCCCTTTTGGGTGAACTATTCCTTTTAATATGATAGTCACTGAGACATTCACAGTGTGAAAACTAGCCTCGGTCTCCCCTTTATATAATTTAATTGTCTATTGCAGTGTTGCATCTGTATTATCTATCAGCAGAAAAACAATTGTCTTGACCAGCTCTTTTTAATTTGTTTACTCTAAGCTACTATATTTTTGTCTTAATGCTACAGGAATATTGCACTATTAAATCTGTCTGTCCACCCACAGCAGTGTGATTCATGCTGCCGTATAAATATGATTATTCCCAATAATCACATGTTGCTTTGTATTAATTTCTACAATAACTTCTTTCTGCAATAGAATGCATTATCAAGGAATCTTTTAAGATCCCACTGCATCAAATAATCTGTGTGACCCTGTCTTACTAAAGAAGCGGATCTGTCATGATACGGATTCAAACTCTGGACTGTCAGAACAACATACTGTTTATTGTTTTTGCCTTTATTGAGAAAACTCGCAATGAGCATTTAAATTTGTTTGTTTGTCTTATTTGTTGTGTGTGCATGACATAGTGTGGCTGGCTGACCTCTTCACATGACTGGGGTGAATTAAAAATTTGAATAAAAAAAAAAGTCAACTTCTATCTTCTCTTACCGAGTGCTCTCTGATTGGCCGAGTTTCTGTATCATATGACAATTTGCATAAACACATCCATTGGCTTTAATGGTGATGGTAAGTGTATCTATATATGCACACTTCTTTTATGTACTGAAAATAGTGTTAATTCAGTATCATTGAGAAAGTATTATATTTTTTAATATTTTGAATTAGATTTTATTTTTGTATTTTCCATTTAATTTTAAAGGTTTAATTTTGTTGTGTTTTGTATTTTTTAATGTCTATATTAATGTCTACTGTATATACTTGGTGTTCTTGGTGTTCAAGTAACAAAAATGTATTTTCATGGTTTTAGTTTTTAGTTACTATAATAACTGCTTCACACTTGCACTGACCAACACAATCAGCATTCACATCTGTGTGCATGACTTTTTGACAGTTACTGTTTGCAAATAACCATGTTGCCAAAGTCTTTTTCTGTTTTCAGTTTCTTGTGTTCCCATATGTGCTGTCAATAAGCGTGCGGAGCGTGCATTCTCTCTGGGCCCAAAATCAGTGTGGTTTCTCAGTGCATGATGGGAGGTGAGAGGTGCTGCTATAATCGGTGGTAAATCATAGCGCTATCACACCACACAATTCCTCCCACCTTATCTCTCACATCAGGATCTCTCCAGCAGCTGTCGAAAGCCATGTATGAGTCCTTTGTGTGCCATACAACAAAATCAGTAGAACTCCTCAAGATGCCATTTAAACTTTAACTACGCGAATAAATCAAATGCTGCAATGTTTATTGCTGTATACAGTCGGTCTGCTGTGGTTATGTACCATTTAGAAATGGAAGGTCTCAGAGTAAACAGAAGATCTCCTAATGTGACCAACTGATCAAAACAGCATATCTACAGATCACACAACTTTGCATAAAATCAAGAAATTGCATAAAA